TTATGTAATGTGATCTTGTATATGTTACTTAACTGAACCTCAATTTCCTCGGTTAGAAAATGGATATTTGAGGAACTAGCTCACAGGGATTAAATGAAAACATATATAAAATTCTAGCACAAGCATGGTACTTTTTAAAATTTTTTTTTTCTTATAGGTAGCTCTTACAGTTGCCAACAAAGATAGAACCAATTGGCTAAATTTCTCAGGAGAGAAGAATTATGAGGTGCTGCTTCACCTAAATATGGTTTCTTCCCCAAATTCTCTTTCGGGGATTGTCCTAGTCTTCTGGAACCATCTTCTTGGGCCTCTGCCAGTCCTTGCCCCCGAACTTGCATTGCATCTGACGCACTAGCGTTTACGCACAACTGGTCTTGTGAACAGGTCCCTTTTAGTTTTTGTAAATCCTTTTATTCTTATGTTCACTGTTCGTGTGTTTAACCATCAGAAATATTTGTTGTGTACATACCATGCACTTTTAGAAATACAATTTATGGCATGTGCTTCGATTCCTTGGAATGGGAATTTGGGGTGACAGTTCATCACACTTTCACTTACTCAAAGATTATCATAGCAGCATAAGGTTATAAATGTATTTACTCAACCAAGAAATAAACAATTCTCAGTATTATAATTGCCTTCTGTGAATAGCAATGCCAGTTTATTGCTATAACATGTTAAGCTTTTTCATGAGTAAGAATTTCCTATAACCTTAGAGTAAGTTAGCCTGTCTACAGAGGTCGCCAATTTCAGTCTCTGGAATCGGGGCCAAGGAAAGATAATATTTCTGTGTCCTTTCATAAGACTTAGAATTCATCCTGTTTTAGCGTCTTTCTTTTTAAAAACAACCATCACAGCACCAAATTTCTATTCATTATTCACAATCTACCCTTTGTTCTCTTTATCTGGACAAACCAAATTGTGTTCATTTGTGTGTTAAAACTCTGCTCTTATCTCGAGCTCTGCCACGTTTCAAGGTTCTTTTCTTTAAATGCGAAGATAACGTTGTCTCTGCTGATGGACCGTGTTAGTGTGTTATTCCACACCCTCTACTGCTGCTTGGGTTGACCACATGTAGTAATCTGTGTTAGTTATCACTAATTACTAAGCATCATTAATTACAGTTTTCTATATTATGCCCTGCATTCATGCCATGGAGTGCCCTTTGAGTGGGATAAAATGTCTTAACTTACTTTCACTATTGTCTGTATTTGGCAATTAGAACTAACTTTTCTAGCATGGTGACTCTTGTGGGTCCCTGGACCCAATTCCCCCTATGTGTGTTTGTGTGGCAGAGGGGTGGGGACTTCCACACAATGCAAAACAGTTCTCAAACAACAGCTGGATGTCCCGCAGTTCATCTCAGTTCCGACACTGTCTACCCAAAGACAGCGTCAGATTCCACAGGCTGAGGGATCAGTGCTGTAACCCAGCTCCAGATAAGAGGCAAGTCCAGGTAACAACCTCAACTTCTAACCAACTGGCTACAAAGTGGAGGGTCCCAGAATCCCCTTCTTAAGTTCGATCAACTTGCTAGAGCGGCTCATTGAACTCAGAGAAACATTTTACTAACTAGAATATTGGTTGATTATAAAAGTATATAACCCAGAAACAGCCAGATGGCAAAGATGCATAGGCCAAGGTTTGGGAAAGGGCTGAGCTTCCTTCCAGGCCCTCCCCAGGCACACACGCCCAGCACGCCTGCACAGGCTCCGGCCAGAGAGCCCTCCGAACCTCGGCCCTTCGGTTTCTGTGGAGGCTTCATCACCAGGGCACAACTGACACTGGCCACTGGCAACTGATTCAACTTCGCGCTCCTCTCCTCCCTGGAGTCCAGAGAGGTGGGAGTGAAATGTCCAACTCTTCAGTCACCTGCGCAGTTCTCCTGACCACAGCCTCTGTCTTTAGGTGAAGTCCAAAAGTCGCCTCATTAGCATAACAAAAGGCACCTTTGTTGCTCTCATCAGGTAGAAAATCCCAAGTTTTTTAGGAGCCTATGCCAGAAATGGGGACCAAGGTCAAATATATATTTCTTTCTTTTTCTTTTATTGAATTTGTTGGGGTGTCATTGGTTAATAAAAGTTTATAGGTTTCAGGTGTACAATTCTATAATCCATCATCTGTATATTGCATTGTGTGTTCACCATCCCAAGTCAAGTCTCCTTCCATCACCATTTATCCCCCCAAATCCTCTTCTACCTGCCCCCCCCCTTTCCCTCTGGTAATAACCATACTGTTATCTGTGTCTACGAGGGGTTTTTTTTGCAGGGGGGGGGTGTTTTGTTTTTTGCTTACTCCTTAGATTCTACGTAATCATTAAATTCTGCATATGAATGAAATCATGTGGTACTTGTCCTTCTCTGTTACTGGTTTATCTCACATAGCATAATGCTCTCCAGGTCCATCCATGCTGTCACAAAGGGTAAGATTTCCCTCCTTTTTACAGCTGAGTAGTACTCCATTGTGTAAAGTACCAGAGCTTTTTTATCCTCTCATCTACTGATGGGCACTTGGTCTGCTTCTAAATCTTGGCTATTGTAAATAGCACTGCAATGAACATGGGTGCATATATTTTTTTTTTTAGAAATCACAATATCACAGCTCTGGCCAGTTTGGCTCAGCAGTTGGAGCGTCAGCCTGCGGTCCAGAGAGACCCGGGTTCGGTTCCCGCTAAGGGCATGTACCTTGGTTGCAGTTTGTCCCCGGCCCTGGTTGGGTTGTGTGGGTGGCAACCACTCGATGTGTCCCTTTCACGTCGATGTTTCTCTCTCTCTCTCCCTCCCATTCTATCTGAACAAAAAATGGAAAAATGTCCTCGGGTGAGGATAAAAAAAAAGAAATCACAATATCACAGTGACTATAGTTAATAATACTGTATTATATAGCTGAAAGTTGCTAAGAAAGTGGATCTTAAAACTGTATCACAAGGACAAAAATGTTGCTGATGAATGCTAACTAGACTTATTGTGGTGATCACGTCACAATATATACAAATATTGAATCATTATATTGTATGCCTGAAATCAATATAATGTTATATGTCAATTTTATCTCAATTAAAAAGAATAATTTCTTGAGAGTTTATTAAGGTGCCAATTAGTCATCACAACAACCCTATAAAATGGGCACTATTGTTTATTAAAATAGGCATTATTAATAATATATAATTTATTATTTGTAATATAATGTATATATAATTAATATATAAAATATATTAATTTATATCAAAGAAATTGAGTCTTAAAGATGTTGGAAATAATTATTGAATTAGCTCAACCTATTGAACTATTTCACCTATGTTTTTTTCTGAAGAAAGGCCTTTTATTCTTTAGAAGTGTGAATCAAAACCCAACAGCAGGGAGAGGAACACATTATCACTCTCAGCACCAGGTATTTCCCATACAGTTGAGTGGTCCTACCATAACAACCGCACTAACATGTGCTCTTCCAGCAAGTAAAAGTATAACCAAGGGTGCTCGTTTGATGAGGTTAATGGTGAGAGAGCCATAAGTACAGATAAAGAGAAAATGAGATGCATAGGCTAATTAGCAGGGACAATTTCTAGAACCAGAAAAAAAGATCAGTACTGACACAGAGTTGTTTGTCAGTGAACACAGGTGAGTAGATTTTCACTCTGTGAATCCCTTCAGTCTGAAGATTTTAAAGTACCTTACCACTGTCAAACTCAAAGAAAAACCCATGTGAGTCATGTTCGTTATTTAAATTTCCTAGCAGCCACGTTAAGGAAGCAAAAAAAGCAAGTGAAATTAATTCTCATAATATATTTTATTTAACTCAACATATCCAAAACATTGTCATTTCAATGTGTAACGACTGTAAAAATTAATGAGATTATTTCACACTTTCTTTTTACTAAGTCTTCAAAATCCTGTGTGTATTTTACTCTATAAAGCCTTTCATTTCAAACTAGCTACTTTTCTAGTGCTCAAAACCCACATGTGGCCAGGGCTGCCTTATTGGACAATATATGTGATTAAATCACTTATTTTCCTTAGGTTGACAAACAGGGGTAGATGGCTGGATTCCCCACAGAATTCAATGGAACTGGGAGAACAAGAAGGAAACTGACACCCTTCTGATATATGAACCTAATCCTCTGGGATTCTTTCTGCGCCCCGGGCACCTTCTCTGTCCCTTCCCCCTCTCTGTCTCCCTTTGTCATTGCCCAACTAGAGACACTATTGCAGCAGGAACACTTGGGGTACAAAGGGGAAACGGGTGGGCTGGATACCCAGCCTCTCACCTTCAGGTTGATGACCTTGCAAGTTATTCAACCTCTCTAGCCTCAATTTTTTTCCCCTATGAAATCGGATTAATTTCTTCACCGAGTTCTGCATATCAAATAAAATAATAAAGGCAAACTCATCAGCACCAGTTAGACACTGCAGGAGTTTTCAAGCCTTCGGTGATTATTTTTCAAGTTCTATATATGTTTAATGGAAGAGGCAGAATTGCAGAAGTAAGTTTTGTTTTTTTGTTTTTTGTTTTTTTTAACGTGTGCAAAATCCTAGGTCACACTCTATTTCTTCTTTAGTACTAGGTGCTTAAAACCTCTTTATGCAACTAGCATGACTTCTGACCAAAGCGCACTGAGTCGAAGTTATACATACATACCAAAAACATAAGAATAATAAAAGAATAGTTTCAGTTTTCGCCTGAGTTTGTCCAGTTGCATTAAGACCCAGATGATAAGGAGGGAACACCTCAATGAGCACCATGTAGGAATGCACTTGGTTACTCTGCAAGGTGCCTGAGGAGGAGGCTTCATGCCGTCCAGTGCAAATGAGTATGGTAAGAGCAACATCATCTAAAAGACGCACTTTCTCAGCCCTGCAGGTCCCCCCACTATAAAACTGCCCTGGGATCTCAAGGAGCCTCCCCAAACCTCTCCAGGTCCTAAAGCCAGTTCCACCTCAAAAGCCCCTGCCCACAGCTCGGGTATTTTGAAAAGACTGTAATAAAAAGAAGGAAAAACTCACCAGTTCATTCTCCTCTCCCTGGTTGAGCAAAGCCCGATGGTCCTTCTTACTTTTCTCCTCCATCCGAACTGGACCTCCTGGCTAATTCCTTGGGGAAATGTCAACCCTACGGAGGCTTATGTGAATTCTGAACAGTCGAACAGTCAAACAGTCGCTACTTGTTGCTGTTCTCAAGGTGCTTAAAATCTCTCAGCATATACCTCACCTATTACACGAACAAAGGAAAGAGTAGAAATACTCTCCTCAGCAATAGAACTAGCCAGTTAATCTCTCTGCTTGTTGTGTGTTTTGTTTTGTTTTTCTTCCTAGTACTTATTTGCTGATGTGAGTTCCCTGAGACTAAAGCTGCTGAACTAGATAGGTAAGTTCCTGTGCTGGCCATAAATGTCTCAAAGGAAAGGGAATGACCACTCTGCTAGAACCCTGAGATAATGGGATTAACTGGTGAGAGATGAATAAAAACACATGGACTTTGAAAAAGAGATGGGCATACCGAGGGTGACAATGAGAATCAAAGCAAGAGAGGTTGGCTCATAACTGGGAACACAGGAATCATTTTAGAATCAGAAAACTCTGAATTCTAATCCCTGCTCTACTGATGGACCAGGACAAATAATTTAAAATCTGAATTTTATGGTTTTTTGTAACATGTCAGCAATAATTATAGAGTTGATGTGATTTTTAAGATGATATTTGTAGAAGGCCAACTATAGGTCCTTTCACACACAATAAGAAATAGATCATCATCATCATCATTACCATAATCATAACACTAATCAAGAAGAGACAAGCTTTTAAATAGTTAACTATAATAATAATTTGATTTCTTCTGCTTTCTCTTTTTAGTTTACAAGCGTTTTCAATAAGTAAAGTATATGGAAAGAGGAGGAGCTAAAAAGGCTGCATACTGGGGATGTCATCTAAATGTCCACAACTGTATAATTACCATTATATTGGATATTTTGAAGTGTATGTTTTCATCAAAAAGTATGTATACTGTGATCTACTCAATGTTTGGTTAATTTGTTCATGATAAACATTTTTATCATTTTATTACCTTTTAATTGCATCCAGTCTACTTAAAAAATCCTTGACACTATGGCCATGGAGGAAAACTTACTGAGAATGAAGACTAAGAGAGGATGATACTTCACTCTTCCCACTGCCTGAGACAGACCTCGGTGGCCTTGAGGGGGAACCAGTGCCCACCCCGAAGCTCTTACTATTTTTTCTACTAACCACCAGAGCCTTCTGGAGATTTCCATTTCACAAATATTGTAGAATGTTTACATGGGCAAGATTGTTCAGTTAAGATAAGCTTACTACTATAACAGCAAACAGTAATAATTTTCATTGGTTTAGCATAGGGGTGTGGGTCTAAGTGTGTGTGATGGTGGGAGGGCATTGATGGAGCAGCGGAGGATTGTGAAGAATAGAGTGAAAAATAAAATGAAGACACTGTGGTCAAGCTGCTCAATTATTAACTTCAAGCGGGCTGAGACGTAGGAAAGGACTAGTCTTGTTTTAGCTGACTATCGGAACTTAAACTTTTGAACTTTCCAGTCCTACATCAATACCTGGATACACATTAGTGTGGTAGATGTTAAGGTCCAGTCATACACCAAACATCCAGTTAACCATCTGAATGGCCTCAGAGAAAATGTTCTATTATCTAGACCACTGGACATCTGATGAATACCATCTTGAACTAATCCAGGGGCCAAGAATACAGAAATGATTTTTCTCAGGAAAACATCAGACTCTTCTTTGTCCTTCAGAACACTCTGGGTATTGTCTAGTTGTGCTTCTGGTTTGCAAACCATAAGACCCTTGAGTAACTCTGTCATTTATTTCTAGCCAAAGCATTCCTGACTTTTTGACAAGGGCAGAGGGTTCCTCCTCCAAGCAGTGATTCAGAGACCCAGGGTCCTTCCATCTTGTGTCTCCACCATCTTCAGCATGTGGCTTTTGAGCTGTTTTGACTTTATGAAAAAGGGATTACATGAGAATCGATGAAAGTTTTTATGGACCAGTTCTATAAGAAGTACTATGTAGCTATACTAGAAGATTGGCTAGAACTCAGTAATATGACTGCACTTAGCTTCATGGTTGAGTAGGATATATGGTCCACCTGTGTTTCAGAAGAAGAGGAAATTAATTTGGTGGTCATCCAGCAGTCTCTCCCACACAGACCCTATAATGACTTCAGAGAAGGGTAAAGAATGGATCAGATTGGATCCTACTCCTTGGGGGACTCAGAGTCTGGTGAAAAAGGCAAAACCAAGCAGAGGCGACTACTGTACAAGGTGGAAAGAGGGAGGCTTGGGTGATTGCAGACTAAGAAGGAACATACTTGAGAGGCCTTAATATCATGTGACACGGTGTGGAGTGGACTATGATATCTGAGTGAGTGACCTTGTGAGCTCTTTGCAAGAACCACAGGTTAGAAAAATACTTGACTCAGTGCATGACTAATCCTCTATCTGAAATACGGATTCAAGGATGTAAGCAAATTTGTACTCTTTAATTGCACTTAATCTGTTTATGAGCACAACCAACCAACCCTTCTCCCTTCCAACCCTAATTACCTCTGCACGAAAGCAAACCACACATTCTCTACAGATCAAAACAGAGCAGAGGGTGCTCCCTTGTACTAACACAACTATGGGCTATTCAAGGTGAAGGCATGGTTTGGCCTTTCCCCTCCCTGCCTTAAAGTTCTGTTTAAGAGATCAGCAAATTAAGGATTTGGTGAACATGTCAAAACTTAGGAGTAGAAGTAAAATCTATCTTGGAATAAAAAAGAGCCCAAAGTGTGTAAAGGGATCTTCTCATGACTTCTCAGTTTTTTCCTGTCCTGTTAATTCATTTAGCAAACAGCTTCTAAGCTCCCACACCAGGGTTAGGATCAAACAGGTGCGGGCCATGAATTAGACACTAATCCTGCCCTGAGTTCGCAGGTTAGTAAGGAAACAACACAGAAATATGACTCTGCTGTAGGGGAAAACATGAAAAGGGCCAGAGGGGACAGATGGAGAAACGGCTAGGAGAGAGAGGCTCAGAACCCAACAGCTCAAAGAACTGAAAGGTGTCTAGTGCAGGGCTTGTTCACTTGCATGGGTCACAGAGAATCTGGTGGACTTTGTAGATGTTCTCCTCCCAGGAATAACACACATATGCATATGTGTATAAAATTTTACTTACATCAGATTTGCTTACTCCTAATCTGATCTGATTTCTGCATTTTACACTTCTTCATGAATTTGCTGACTGAATACTTATAGAGCGCTTCCTATTTATTTATTTATTTATTTATCCTCACCCGAGGACATTTTTCCATTTTTGTTCAGGTAGAGTGGGAGGGAGAGAGAGAAACCGAGAGAGAGAGAGAGAAACATCGACGTGAAAGGACACATCGAGTGGCTGCCACCCGCAAAACCGACCAGGGCCGGGGACAAACTGCAACCGAGGTACGCGCCCTTAGCGGGAACCGAACCTGGGTCTCTCAGGACCGCAGGCTGACACTCTAACCACTGAGCCAAACAGGCCAGGGCAGCGCTTCCTTTTTATAAGGGACTGCTGAAGGTGTTGGGAGAGCAGCAATGATCAAAGCAGACAAAAGTCAGTGCCCCATGGAGGAGACATTTCACTTGGGGAAAGACTGACAAAGTAAGTAAAGTTCATAGAAGGGCAGACAATGGTATTGCCTCTAAAAGAAATAAGGTTAGGAATTGAATAGGCCATGCCAATGGGGGGCAGGAGCGAGGGGGTAGGGAGCAGAAGGGGAGGTGGAGTTGCATTTTATTTTATATATATATATATTTTTAATTAATTTATTTTTGTTACAGATGTCTCTCCTTTTCCCCCCACTGATTCCTCCCTCCTCCCTGCTCTGTCCCCAGCTTTGTTGTCCATGTTCATTGTTCATGCACAGATGCATATAAGTTCTGTGGTTTATCTCTCCCCCCTACCCCTTCTTCTGGGGATTGTCAGTCTGTACCCCACTTCCACATCTCTGGGACTACCCCATTCCTCAGACTGTTATGTTCATCCCACAAATAAGTGAGATCATATGATACTTGTCTTTCTCTGTTTGGCTTGTTTCACTTAGAGTAATACTTTTCAGGTCCCTCCACGTTGTCTCAAAGGATAAGAGATCTTTCTTTCTTACAGCTGCATAGTACTCCATTGTGTATATGTACCACTGCTTTTTTTATCCATTTGTCTACTGATGGACATTTGGGCTGTTTCCAGATCTTAGCTATTGTAAATAGTGCTGCTACAAGCATGGGGATACATATATTCTTTCTGATTGGTGTTTCAGGCTTCTTAGGGTATATTCCTAGAAGTGGGATCACTGGGTCAAATGAGTTCAATTTTTAATTTTTTGAGGAAACACCATATTGTTTTTCATAGTGGCTGCACCAGTCTGCATTCCCACCAGCAGTGTACTAGAGTCCCCTTTTCTCCACACTCGCCAACACTTGTTGTTTGATGATTTGTTGATGGCGGTCGTTCTGACACGCGTGAGGTGATACCTCATTGTTGTTTTAATTTGCATCTCTCTGATGATTAGTGATGTTGAACATTTCTTCATATGTCTCTTAGCCATTTGTATGTCCTGTTTGGAGAGGTGTCTGTTTACTTCCTCTGCCCATTTTTTAATTGGGGTCTTTGTCTTCCTTTTGTGGAGTTGTATGAGCACTCTATATATATTGGAAATTAACCCCTTATCTGATGTATCATTGGCAGTTATGCTCTCCCATAGAGTGGGTTGCCTTTCCATTTTGGTGGTTGTTTCTTTGCCGTGCAGAAGCTTTTGAGGTGGATATAGTCCCATGTGTTCATTTCCTCCTTTGTTTCTGTTGCCTTAGGTGATGTATCAGTGAAAATTCTGCTTCGTATGATGTCTGAAATTTTGTTGCCTACATTTTCTTCTAGGATTTTTATAGATTCATGAGTCACATTTAAGTCTTTTATCCATTTTGAGTTTATTCTTGTGTATGGTATAAATTGATGGTCTAGTTTCATTTTTTTGCATGTAGCTGTCCAATTTTCCCAACA